GATGAGGCTTTGAGCAACCTGGTCTAGTGGAAGGTGTCCCTGCCCATGGCAGGGGAGTTGGAACTAGATGATCTTTAAGGTCTCTTCCAACTCAAACCATTCTATGATTCTGTGATTCTATAAGGAACGTGTAGACGTGGCACTTGAGGATATGGTCTAGTGGGTATGGTAGTATTGGGCTGATGGTTGGACTAGATGATCTTATAGGTCTTTTCCAACTGAAGTGATTCCATGATTTGCACCTCTCGTTAGTTTGAAATGAGGTCATGCTTGGTGGAATGTGAGACCAACAGGGCTGGAACAGGAGGACACCACAGCTTATGAGAGAGAAGTCAACTAATAAAGGAAACAGGCATTTGCACGCTATAGATATGCATGTACGTAGGTATGCTGGCAAACACAAACCAAGAAATTATTTTTACCTTACTCTGTATGCTAATTTCATACTGAAAACAGTTTGTCATTCCCAAATGACTTGTATGGGGTGGTTTCCATGTAATTAGGCAACCTTCTGGAGCTTTAGTACAATTGACAGTGACATTTAGTGGGGGAGTGAGTATTTCTGGAAATAAATAAAATAATTAATGTAGTCATGGTCAGTTAACAGCTACAACTCACATGTTCATAGCAAGATAAATGTGAAGCTGAGGCAACTGATGTACAGCTGTGTCCTACTGATGTTAACAAATATTATCTGGTAAACAGGAGTAAAATACAGCAGCAGAACTGTATAGCACAATATAGCACTTTAGCAGTTGGATATCTGTAGCAACTGAAATTTATGTAAAGAAGTATGAAGAATTTTGTGTAATTCGGTAGTACAATCAGCACAGTGCTATTTTCTTCTACATCTGAACTTCACACCGACAATGCAAGTCTCCATAGGAAAAAGGATGGAGTTTTTTGTGCATGTGGTAGTAGTCAGTTGGAAAACGAAGTCATTGGAATTTGAGTGCCTACCATATTAGTTGACTGGGTGTCTAACTGCTATAGTCAGTGGAGACCTCATCAGTTGCGCCCATGATGTCTGCAAAGCTCTTTGGGATACCATGAAGCAGGCATGCTTGGCTGAACAGCTCTGGGCTTTACAGCCTGCACTGGCTGCAGGTAGGAGTCAAGTCTCACGCTGTGCATTTCAGACTGCATCGGACAGCCAGGAGGAGCCTGGTTTCTTACAGGTCCTGGGCACACATTTGCATGCCTCGTGGATGTCTCAAGTGTCTGAGGGTGTTTCAAATGGCACTAGAGATGTTTTTAGACAATTCAATCCTGTTCCAGACCTCTGTTGGAGCTTAAACATCTAGGTTACACATAGGTACCCACATATTTAACTAATGTGGTCTTAATTTGCAAGTTTAACCCTCCCTCCAGTTTTAAAACACATAGCTCTTGTGGGTCTCAGAGAGGTGTGGAATTAAGGGATCAGAAAGATGGCCTTGAAAGTCTGACCATTGCATTTCACCGCTTGACTTCCATGGATATGTTCACACCACTTCTCCAAGGAATTATTTTAGGCTTCTGGCTTTGGTTGTTTTAGCTAATTTTTAGAACTATATTCTGTCAGGAGTGAAGTCTGTTCTTCCGTGCATGATCCTATGATGGCTACAGTCTTTGTTTCATTCTTCTTTTCTAAGTTCCCCAATTACTTATTTTGTAAATCAGTAATAAAATAAAAATGTTCACTTACCAATTTTATACAGTTTAATATATTCATCATACAACTGGATCGAGGAGTGTTTGCTAGACCCGTCCACCCGGAAGTAAGCTTTATCATTCTTTATCTTTACATTTTTGAATCTACATCCTGTGTTTCTGCCATTTTCGTCTTTAATGTAAAGCTCACATTCCGTTAAATTGTTGCCTCTGTATATAACAAGGTATTTTAGTTAAACGTGGGCAGTGTGATGTGTTGAATGAGAATCAGACTCCCCTAGACTCAAGCAGACCTGCTTACCTTGAGTTCTGCCAGTAGAGAAAATATTGGGTATCTGCTGGAGCATTCCAGCCTGCTTGATTCCTGCCTGCTTGCCAAGTGCAGTTCATGAGGGAAACGTTATAAATCACACAGGAGAAGTTTTCAATGGCCGACCCATTCATGCCTGCAAACCCAGGAATATCCATAGTGAGTTAAAACTGTGTGACTGCTACAAGACAGAGGAGCTTGGCACATGCTTAAGTATGCTGCAACTCAAGCTTATTATTGCTTGTGTTAGGCATGATAATGAGGAGAAAGCTGGAGTATCATCCTATTTTGACTGTCTCTGAACTGTAAAATCTAGTAGAGCATTCACACACATAGAAGGCGGCACATCACCTTTTAACATCATCTTTGGCACTACAGAGAGCAGCATTTCTCCCCTGACAATTAATGCCCAGGAATCCACTCCTATAGTGTTTACACACAGCATTTAGAAAGCTGTGACTGTTAAAAGTAAGGTGAGGGTTTGTCTGCACTCTGATCAAATAGCCATCTAGATACAGTTTTCTACCCTGATGTGGGCAACAACAACTTGGTCTTTTCATTTTCTGGAGCACGTTGAGGTGGAAACCTCGATTCTTTGGAAGATCCCTCATGGCTGGACTGTGCAGGCATGCTCAGCCTCCTTCTCTCTTCTCTTTCAACCACCTTTCTACTTCTTACTGTGGCATGCCCAACTTCAGAAAAAGGTGGAAGCTTCTTCTCCTTTGGCTGCCAGCCCCCTCCAGCACCCAGTATTGATGGACCCTTGTGGAAGCAGGGGGGGATTCCCCTGGGGATCCTCATGCTTGGAAGCTCAGGACAGCTGGGGAGGGCCATCAAAAGCAAGAGGTTTTAGGAGGCAAAGTGTCCTGGCTTGTATTTTGAAGCTCATCCAGAGAGTGTTTCTTGTGTCAAGTCCCCAGGAAGAGATGAGTAGGGAGTACTTTCTGCTCAGAGATGAGCAAGCTGCTAATCTCATCACCTCTGTCAAGTCTGAAATACCCCAGTTACACGCAGAGGCAAGCGAACTGGTGACTGGGCAATTTTAATGGAGAGCCCTGAGTTCAGAAGGGAGGAGGAAAAGAGCCATAAAAACTCCAGATTTGGAATTATGAACCTAGGATTTGCCTAAATCCCACTTGAACAAGTCCCACATGGGGCAGGCTCAGAATATTTTTGTAAGCAGTTGCCTCAGATCAGTGAGTGCACAGCAGCCAAAGGAACCTGTGTGTGCGTGTGTGCACATGCGTGTGTGTGTGCGCACGTGCACGGCGGGGCTAGATTAGGAGATTCCTAAATTCAGTTTGACCCCAGCTGCTAATCACTGGTGTTTCCTTTCCTCTTCTCCTCCCATTTTATGGGTTTCACTGATGCCCAGACTGTGCCTTTATCTAGCCTTGTGGTCTGGCTCCTGCAATCTCACCAACACACCAGCAGAAAAGTGCTGAATAAAGAAATGAGTGCTAACATCTTAATTTTTAACAGCCAAAACAGTTATTTGAATCCATCCTGAAACCACTGTAATTTAGTGCCATTTTGGAGCCCTATTATGAAAGAGAATAATGCAATTACTGATTCATTTGTAGTAATGCATCTTTCTCAGAATTGTGGAAACGTTCACTACAGAACAAATAATTTCAGCAGGTCTGCAAAAGATAATATTTAATAGAAAATTAAGCAGTTAACTATCGTGTAAGGAAGTGGTATCTAAGGCAATGTTTACTTTTAAAAGATTGCAAATGGAGAAAACCTTACCCAGACCATAGACATTACCTCCAGGGATAAAGGTGCAGGATTCGGAGATGTTTGTGTTTGGCACTTCGATGGTAAAGAGTAACCCTTTGTGCAGAGGTATGTATTGTTCCACTGGAAACGTGCAGAGCGGACTATTCGCCTGAAAAAGAACATGTTGATGTTTTATTTCTCTGTTTTTTCTCTGCTGGTGTTAGGTGGTGCTGACCTGCGAAGTGCATCTCAGAAGCTCAATCCACGGGGCCGAAGCCTTGCGTGCTGATGCGTTTTACGTTCTACAGCTGATTCTCTCCTTCACCACTTGAGGGTGATGTAGAGTAGAGATGAGTGATGAAAAGTGTAACTACACAAAAGGCTTTGCCGCTCAGGAGTTGGATGCCGCACTAGTGTGCAACTACTAGAGAAGGCTAATAGTTCCCCAGTGGCGTAACAGAGGGTGGTGAATAAATGAGAAAACCACAGTGGAATTTAATCAAAGGATTAAGCAAAATAGAAGTCCTTGTCTGACCTCCCTAGGGGTCAGAAATATGTCTATGGCATTGCAGTTAAATTTTTCAATTAAGATGTGATGTGTTTTTGTAATAGGTATTTCTAAATAAGGCATCTGCTTTGCTAGGCCAAGTCAGTCATGTCTATCTTTCTGTCAAGCTTCCTACTTTTTGCTTTGGCTAATGGGGGCTTATAACATAACCTGTGCTACAACTATAATCCAATTTACTGGGAAGAAATTTAAGAAGCTGAGATAATGAAAATCCATGGCAGTGTTTGGGGAACTCACTTTTTATTTGAAGGCTGTCTTGCTCGATCTCTCTAAATTCTCTGTGAGTCTCACTCAGTCTCACAGCCCCTTTTTTTCAGCAGCAGCATCCCCATTCAGGATTCAATGTAGGTACAGTTCAGGCTATCTCTTTCTTTCCACTTTGGTGCCAGAACTTCAGTTCTGTGGTATGCACAGGATGCTCCTCCTGCGCAGCAAATGCACCCTTGCATTGGTGATGGCTTTCCACAGCCCCTGACAGGCCAAGCTGTAACTGCAAACAATCACTGGCCAGATTTTACTTGCAAGGCATTAGTTTTTTCAAAGTGAAATTGATAAAAGATGCAATTTCAAAGAACAGCAAACTTACCTCTATCTGTACAATTCCCATGCCCTTCGCCATGAGGTTACAGTTGTAGATAGTGAAATTCTTGCTGGTCTCCCAGGACAGTTCCTTTTTCTCCCAATTCATTTTCACATTTCTAAAAGTTGATTCTTGTGCTGAAGGTGTTACAGAGTAAGTTCAGTAAGGATATGCTACTGTTTTTGCAGAATGTAGAGATTAGTGTCTGTCACGGTTAAGACTACAATTGCCACATTAATTGCAAATATCTCTGATAAATGAAGATTTAAATCCTGCTTCTCAGATTACATGTGTAAAAACAGACTTACACCCTGTACACTGGATGTCAGCATGCAAGGGTTGAAATAGCATCATACACCACCAAGTCATGCAAATGTGTCCAAGAGTATCAAACATCTTTTCTTCTCTGGAAACAGACAATGACACCTTCAGGATTTAAAAAAAAAAAAAAAAAAAAAGAGAAAAAAAAGAAAAAAGTTATGCCCAAGTGTACTTTGGTTTCTGCAAAGCTACATTTTTTTTTTTCCCCACAGGGGAGCCTGTACCGGCTCCTGCCAGCACGTTTTAGAAGTGCATGGAAAACATCCCTGAGATCAGACCTGTCTAAGCAAAGCAGGAACAGAAAGGTCTCAATCTCTGTCAGGTTTTATGAGCATTTAAATGCTGACTTGCTTACCTATTTTTTTGTCTATGGTAAATGTGCAGTCTTGCTTGAAAGGCTTTTGGGGCTGATCTCAAGATTTCATGTAGTAAGGACATCATAGCCCTTAAAATAATGTTTAAAGCAATGCCCTGAGTCACTTCTCATTCTTTTCCTGGAGGAAAAGATCAAAGCTGACTACAGACAGGCAGTTTTGTATATGTTTTCTATCATCTTTCCTTTTCTGACCACAGCTCAGCTAAGAACAGTCTTCCATTCAGAAAAGTACCTTAGGAGCTAGAATTCTGATGGACCTTTCCAAAGGCCATTTGGCACTCGATAGACCTGGATTCAGTTGCTTTTCCATTGTCCTGAATATCCCAAATTGCAGTGTAAACTTGGTCATAAACTTGATGGCACTAGTGTCAGTTCCTGACTAGCCTGAATGAATTTTTCATTTTTTTATGTGCTCTCTCACTTCTCACCTCTTTTAATGTAACACTGAATATACTAAAGAATCCCAGTTGTTAGGTGTAGTTTACTGCATCTCACTATTAGATAAGATACCTTTTTTAATGCCTTCTTCGTTGTTATTGTTTTGGCTCCGTAAATTGTGGAGTCTTACTGTGGACATTATTAAGCTTTGGGGTTGTCTGCTGTGTAGTCAAACTATGATGCTGGTTCATAGAATATTTCCCTAATAATTTTATACTAATGTAATTATAATGATGCAGAATTGAACTTGGGCTATAAAACATACTTGAGAGGACAGAAAAAAATGGTGAACCTGCTTAGAGCTATTTTAGTGAATTTGACTCTCAAGTTTTCATGTATAGTTCATTTGAACAAAGATTTACATAATTACAGTGTGATTACAAACAGTGTGTACCTTCATTCTTGGTATTCTGGCCCTCTGCACCTATAACTTTCTTTCTGCAAGTTGTCAATATTTTCTAGAACCTACTTCTGTCTTGGTGTGTTTTTCAGTCCGATTTCCCAAAATGAGGTAGTATATGCTAACGACATTTTTTAAATGAAGGATTCTACAAAAAGACAAAATATTTTTCAGTGTTTCTTTCCTCTTTTGACTTGCCTCCATTATGCCTTGATAATGAAACAGACCTATTGGCATACCTGCAGATATCCTGTGTGGGATGAATAATAAGACACCTCAAAGTATCTACAAGTCAGTATTACCTAAGCACAAGTTGTTTAAGGTCCTGTTACCGTCACTGGAGATTTGACTGAATTCCATTCACTGCTTTTGGTACATATAAAGAATTTCTCACTACTTGTTTTAAAGCCTTTGACTATTGCTATATGGAATTCATTAACCTTTTAGAATCTTCCTATTTCTTTATGTATTTTATTCTCTGTTTCCCTTTGCTGAGTTTCTTTAATTTGGGTCTTTTTCCTAAAGGCATTTTTTTAAGCACCAACCAAGTCTTACACTTGGTCAGGTTTCTTTTGCCTACTTTTTTATTTTTTTGTCTCTCACAGAATGTGTGAATATTGTCTCTGTGAAGCAGTGTATAGACCATGTGTAGGAGGCTATGCCTCCCCTTCCAGGCTGTGAGAGTGTAGGGGAGGGTTGGCACTGCTGCCTGGTTCAAGAAGGTAGTTCATGGCTGTGCTTTCGTGTGGCGTCCTTCTCTAGCCTAAGAAACCCTTGGTTATGGCTGGGTTGGAGTTAACTTTCCCCAGAGCAGCCCATGTAGTGCTGTGCTTTGTATTTGTAGCTAGAACATTGTTGATAACACTCCAACATTTTGGTTATTGCTGAGCAGTGGTCACACGGCAGCAAGGCTGCCTCACCAATCTCTCACCCAAAGACCAGTAGGGTGGGGGTAAGCATAGCCCACGCAGCTGCTGCAAGCTGACCGAAGGGATGTTCAAGACCATATGAGGTCACACTCAGCAACGAAATCTGAATGCAGTGAAAGCTAGAACCTCAAGACGACTTCAAGAAATGCAGAAAAATTACAACTGTCAGCCAGGGGAATAGATTTCTGCCTGGCTGCTCCAGTACTGGGGTAGTGAGCCAATAGTCAGGAATTAGATGATAAGGAGACCCAGCAGATGGGATCCTTCACTCAGGTCTGGGGAACTGACAGAGGAATTGGAAAAGAGGCAACAGTTCAGAGTCTCTGGAGGTGGCTCCTGTCAATCGTGATGGCAAGATATCCATTCAAGGGAGATCTTGTGAATTACCAAGGGAAGGGGACTACCACTGAGAAAAGCATCCAGCATCTGAGAGACTTAGTAGTGCTGGAAGTCATCTACAGTGACCTGGATGACAATCAAGTCTCCAAAGATTTTAATGATGTTCTGTGCCTGTGGGCCATGTGGAGGAAGGTGGTCCAAAACGCAAAATGCAACATATTTCAACAGCTTGGTGATGATGTATTGCCCAGATTCTCACCATGAATACAGAGAATATTAAACTGCTCTCTACCTTACATGGCTTGCTGGGCAATCCTTCTGTTGTGTGCTTGCTGCAGGTTGAAGAATTGCTACCATGCCAATTGCTACCATAATGGTGCACCGATGGCAATACCACACCAACAAAGACTCCTTTGTTTGCTGATTCATCAACTGGAGAACCAAGGAATGGCCAGCAAGACTCACTCATGCTTTAAGAGACCCATACAGCCAGTGCAAAAGTGACGGAGGGTAGAGGTTAACAGTGGCCTATTATGGCCTGAATGAAGTCATGCCACCATTGAGTGCTGTCATACCAGACATGTTGGAACTCCAGTATGAACTGGAGTTAAAGAAAGCCAAGTAGTACGCCACGATTGGCATTGCCAATGCATTATTCACAATTCCTGTGGAAATAAAGTGCAGGCCACAGTTTGATTTCATCTGGACACTCCTGGAATCAACTGTCCTGGGGGTGGAAGCACAGTCTTATAATTTGCCATGGACTGATACAAACTCCTGGAACAGGGTGGTGTCCCTGAACATCTGTAATACACCACCAACATCACTATGTGGGGCAACAAAGCAGAAGTGTCTGAGAAGGGAAAAAGAATAATTCAAATCCTCCTGAAATTTTCTTTGCTATAACAAGAAGCAAGTTTAAAGGACCTTCAGAGAAGATCCAATTCTTGGGAGTGAAATGGCAGGATAAATGTTGTCACATCCCTATGGATGTGATCAATAAGAGAACAACTATGTCCTCACCATGTAACAAGAAACAAGAGCTTTCCCAGGTCTTGTGAGATTCTGGAGAATGCATATTCCAGGTTATACTCAGCTTGTAAGCCCTCTTTATTGAGTGACACAAAAGAAGAACTATGTTGCGTGGGGCTGAACAACCACAAGCGTTTGAGAAGATCAAACAGGAAATAGCTCATGCAGTAGCTCTTGAGTCTGTACAGGATCATCTGTGCAAAATGTACTCTGCACTGCAACTCGAGGTTGACCTCAGAGCTTTGGAGCTCACAGTATCAAGGACAGGAAGCCCAGTAGACCCTGACTGAAAACCAGATACTAGCAGCATATGAGGAGGTTTGAGCTGCTTCAGAAGTTGTTGGTACAGAAGCACAGCTCCTGTTAGCACCGCAATAGCCTCTACTACACTGAATGTTTAAACGAGACATCCCCTCTACACATCATGCAACTGATGCAACATGGAGTAAGTGGCTAGTACTGATCATGCAACAGGCTCAGATGGAGAACCCCAACCACCCAGGAATGCTGGAAGAGATCATGGACTGCCCAGAAGGCAGATGTTGGAACAGTGCCTGAGGGGGTGACTCATGTCCAAGGGGCACCACCATATAATAAGTTATCAGAAGGTGTTATGCTCTGTTTACCAATGGATCCTATTGTGTTGTCGGAAACCATCGGAAGTGGAAAGCTGCTGTGTGGAGTCCCACACAAGTCATTGAAGGAGAAGGTGAGTCAAGGCTGTTTGCAGAAGTGAAAGCCATTCAACTGGCCCTAGAGATTACTGAATAAGAAAAATGGCTGGTATGCTCTCTCTATACTGACTTATGGACGGTGGTAAATGACTATAGGGGTGGCTACAGCAATGGAAGCAGACCAATTGGCAGCACAGGGATAAACCTATCTGGGTTGCTGCATTGAGGCAAGACATTGCTGCCCATGTAAAAAACATCACTGTAAAGGTATGTCATGTAGACACTCATAAGTTGAAAAACCACATCACTAAGAACATTGAAACAATGAATAAGGCTGACAAAATTGAAGTGGCTCAGGTCGACCTGGACAGTGGTCGTAAGGGTGAGCTATCCGTAGCTCCATGGGCCCATGAAACATTAGGACATCTAGAGACAGTTGCAACATACAGATGGGCTTGTGATCAAGGGGTGGACCTGAGCATAGTGGCCATCATGCAAGTCACCCATGAATGTGAACAATTTGTCAAGGTCAAGTAAGCCATGTAAGTTAAGTCTCCCTGGAACAGAGGGCAGTAGCTGGGTTTTTGATAAGGCAAGGCCAGGCAAATATGTTGAGCCACAGCCACAAACCTCCCAAGGCAAGTGTTACATAATCACCACGGTGGGAACAACTGCCAGGTGGCTAGAAACATACCTATAAATCATAACGCTGATGGAAACACCACCTTGGGCCTTGAAAGGCAAGTTTTATGGCAACATGGTACCCCAGAAGAATTGAGTTAGACCACAGGACTCATTTCCAAAATAACCTCATAGACTCCTTGGCTGAGAAGCACAGCATTGATTGGGTATACAACATCCCCTATCGCCCACAATCCTCCAGAAGA